CTCTGACCCCGCAGGAAAGGAATGTGGAAGCTCTTTCATCCAGGACAGAAACCAAAGACACCCAGGCGGTTGGAAAGTGGCGGTTCAATTCTGCTTTCAACATTTTTGATTAGGGAAAGTAAGCAGAGGCGCTCCTCCTTGTGAATGTGCTGTTCTGTGTTTGTTGTAGAAGCGTCTGCCATTTTGGTTTTCCATCTAGCAGCAATGTTTTTGTTACTATGTGACACTACGTTGAATCTTTTGCTGGTTTGTCGCGGGTGCTCCTCATGCTGCTGGAAGCTAGAAGGCCTGTGTGACCTGTAGGCGCATACGTTTGTCACAGAGTTTGCCCTTAAAAACCAGATAAAATAACTTACTAACGGAAAAACTAAGTTATAAGGGATTATTAGTCACCGAGTCCTTTTTTTTCTATTAAATATGTGTTTATATGTGGCTGCTTTATCAATGAGTCTGAATTTATGGTGAATCAAGTATTTATTTTTACCTCCTATATGGGCAGTCACAAGAGTACCTATGACTACTAAACTGATTTATTCCAAAATATATTTGAAAATAAATCTGATTTTTATTTTTATCAGCTGCTTGAAAATTATTGCAGCTGTATGGTTAACTTGAATACAAAAAAAGTTTGTTTTTGTAAATGTTTCTTTTCGACACATTTTTATCTCTGTATGTTTATTCTGATAATGTTGATTAAAGGAATAAGCTCTAAAACCAGCAGCCTGTCCTCCACAACGTTACCTTTGACTGCAGTAAATAAATTCTACATTATTGCATCCTGTGCTTGCTGTCGCTTTAAACATCTGGGCCATTGTTACCTGTGCCAGGTGTCTTTAGCTACTGCAGGGAGCCTTCATATCTTATTTCATGCAAAGTGTGTATTCTTTACGAGTGGAAATAAGCACATTTCAAACGGATTTTTATATAAGTAATAAATTCACTCATTAATGTCGCAATGTTGACACATTATGTGGCCCTTATTTAGAAGTCAAGTTATAGACTGACAGACTAAACTCTATATTTCACATCAGTGTTTCTGTTTGTAGCATGGGCCATGGTGTCGTTGGATAACTCAGAATCAATTTGCTTATTTGCAGATTTGCCCCCCTGGTTCGTACCTTCATGTTGCCATTTTGTCCCCCTCTGCCTCGATGTACTTTAGCAATTCCTTTTCATAATGTTTTTCTTTGTATGCAAATGTTTTTTTTTTTATGAATTATTGGAATACTCTGTTATAGAAATGCTGAAAACTCGCACATAATTTCAGTTATTATCAGAAAAGTTTGAATTACACATTGCTTTCCATTTATCTGGGCTGATTTCCTCATTAAATTTGGAAAATTATTTCCCCAGATCAAACCAGAAAGACTGAATGATCTCATACTGATGGATATGACTGTTCTGGAGTCGTAACACCAGATTTCTTTGCAATAGACTATAATTAGAATATGAAAAATGACTTCTAAGCCACTAAGGTTAATGTCCAAATTCATGTAAACTTGAAATCGTTGGACACAAAATGACCAGAACCGCAAAGGACAAAATGCTACTGAACGAAGTGCCTGCATGATTCACTCTCATTAAGGTGCTGCTTTAAGAAAAAAAAAAAAAATTATAAAGAACTATCTTTAGTGTGATCTAAAAATAGTTCACACTAAGGTGCATTATAGTAAAATTATGCAAATGACAAAAACCCAACAACACAATATATTTCTTTTTAAAACTGTCTCTCGGGATAGGGTGGACTTTGAAGGACACACCAGACCCGTCCTTCAAACGCGGGAAAAAGACGGCGCATTTGTGGGTTGCGTTTGGAGGAGCCTTTGAACTTCAACAGCCTTTGTTGCATCGCTGTGACGTAATCGGCCCTCAAATGAGACACTGGAAAAATGCATCCCCTCAATTTGGACATGCTCCCTTACTTTTTAATTCACACAATTAAAGACAGTATAAAATACATTTCTGAACATAAAAAAGTTCATTTACTGACTTTTTCAGTATTAACGGCTTAGTTGTTTATTTTTTTTTGTCATGATCGACTGTCATTCCTGGCTCTGGTTTTGCTGTTGGCTAGTAAACTGAAATCTCACAATTCACTTATTTTTAATTTTGCATTTTTTTTTGTTTATTTAGCTATTAAAGCTGCAGTATGTAGCTTTTATTAAAAAATATGTTTTTGAATATTTGTTAAAACTGTCACCATGTTGTGACAGTGTAGCATGAGACAGATAATCTGAGAATAGATCAGTTTCTCCACCTGCTCCCTGAGCTTCTGAAGGAAAGCCCCGCTCCTGACCAAAAACAACCAATCGGTATTTTTTGCCCACACAATGCAGCACTCCCTGTAGGCAGAATGCACTGTATGTAATGTGTGAAGAGAGAGAGGGCGACACGACATGGTACAGGTCAGGAATGTGTGATGTGGGTAGCCCCCTCTACAATAGAGCAGGGCTCCCTGAAGGCCTTCAATGGGACGGGTGTCATCCCTATGCAGCCTCCCTGCTGGGTGATGACCACCACTCTGCACTGCTGCTGCCACGTCCTCTCAACCGCTCCTGTAAACACGCATACATACGTTACATGGACACAGCGATGCGCGTGTGTAAGACATTCAGCACAGATGAAAGGAAATGTGGTTTGTAAAGGAAAGTGACACACACAGCGATCAAGCATTTGCGTTTGGGACATAAGCTGTGGTTGGACAATTTAAGAAGTATTTTATATTCCAGAATATTTGCTGTCTTCCAGAACCCAACGACCTTTCACACAGGGGAGAAAATGTAACATTTTTAATTTTACTTGTTCATCTTGCATGTACCGTACATGTTTACGTGACAGATGCTCAAAGAGCGGCTGACATTGGGGATCAGCGTTGTGTCCTCTCCATGTGGAACGGCTCAAGCAGGTTAGTGAAGGGGAAAGAAAGGGAGATCATTTGCTCATTCAGCAACTAATATGACTTATTGTGTCTTAAAAACTGTTCTTGTTGTCAAAAATTCAGTGAGTTAAGGATGTTACACACGCCTAAACACCTTGCCTGGAAGTGGTTTTGTGTTTCTGTTTTCCCAAGAATTACAGCAGCCTTATCCTGTTTCATAACAAGTACATACATGTAAACACACATAATGCTTTCGGCTCAGTTCTGTCATCTGCAGACACACATGATGAGGGATGGGACTCAGTGTTTGCACTTGATCTTAACAAATGTTTCCTCTGAAGACCGAGAACGATTTCTTTAACTTGCTTTCATGTCTGTCAGATTTGCAGTGCAGCTCCCTCTAGTGGCCATAAAGGCAACCTGTTGCAAAAATTTAACTTGCAGATGATTTTCTTTGGGCAGGCCGGGCACAGGCTATGGGATTCTGGTCGTATGGTGTCTTCAAGCAAAGATAGTTTAATTTCACTACATTCCCACATTCCCAATTGATCGGATTTCTGTGTTAAGGCTGTGCATGAACCTCATTTAGGCAAGATTAAATCTGTAGTGATTCTGATTTAGGCCTGTAGATTTTGTCTTTACTTTTATTTGAATAAAAAATCTGTAAGCCCCACAAAAATGTCAGTAAATCATGCAAGCATTCCAGGATGCATCAGCTTGTGAATCTTAAAGGCAACTTCATTTGTTTCAGCCTTTTTCCCAGTTATTATATTTCTGCAATAGTAGTATCAATATGTGAGGTTTTTTTTTTTTTTTTGTGTGTGTGTGTGTGGTGGGGGGGGGTGTAGAATGTATAAAAAAAAACATTTGTGCTGCAGGGATTCTTGGAAACAACACACATTTTTATCTATAGCTGTCAATCATTTGATCTGTGTAGCCTGCTGTTTTTTTCTATATAAGCAGAAACAAGTTGCAGCTTGTTTACATAAGAGAAAAATGTCAGTTGTCTCGTAAGATGATCCGGTACTGACAGTATATCTCTGAGGCGGAGGAGAAACGGGGTTTTATGAATATTTCTTAAAACTTATGTACACTCTGCAACAGCAATAAAACTTTTCTGGTTCACTCATATGAACCCCAAGGTTCCATCTTGGGGACTCGCAAGCTCAAATTCTGACAAATAACAAGATAAGTTATCACAACTATGCAGATTATACACAGATCTATATTGCAATGTCACCAGGTGCTCAAGCATTGACCAGATGCATAGAACATATCAATGTATGGAAACTTCCATAACTGGAACCATCTAGAGCCAGCTCTCAGGTATTACAGATAGAAACTAGTGATCAGACCTGAAATCTGGATATAGTGATGGACTCTGATCTGAACCTTCAGAACCACATAAAGACATTTACAAAGTTGGCCTTCTGTCACCTGGAGAATATATCCAAGATTAGAGGACTAATGTCTCATAAAGCTCTAGAGAAACTCAACGACACGTTTATCGTTAGTCACATTGATTACTGCAACAGTGTCTTCACAGGTCTGCCTAAAAAAATCAGACGCTGCTGCTCACATCACCAAACCACATTACCCCACTTCTAAGGCCTTTCACTGGTTCCTTGTGGCTCAGAGAATAGACTTTAAAATACTTTTGTTAGTTTAGAAATCTCTCACTGGCTTAGCACCAAAATACATTACGGATATGCTGTTTTTGTATCAACCTTTCAAACATCTCAGGTCCATACATGGAGAAGCAGCATGCTCTGCTAATCTGGAATAATCTTCCAGAAAACTGCAAAACTTCCTTTAGATGAAGTCTTAAAAACCCATTTGTTTAGAGTTGTTCATAACAACTGGTACATCATAAAGAGGAGCCTTTCTTCTAACTTTTCATTACTATCCTTTATTTAGCCACTGCAATGTAAGGTTTTATGTTTTCATCTTGTGAAGCACTGAATCATCATGTTGCTGAATGTATTATGCAAGTACACACACATTTGAACATTTAGACATTGTTCAAATGTGTGTGTGTGTGATGAGATGTGTTTTATTGCAGTTTGTGTTGCTGGGACAAATATTATCCACTTATCTTTGTTTTTCTTCCTCTTCTGACAGGACAGTAAAGATGCAGAGCAGTATTTCCCACTCACCGCCAGCCATAGCTGTTGGCACTGGGTGAGGGGTAGAGAAGCCAAACAAGAGGAGGAGCAACCAAGGTGGAGATATAAGGTGGGAAATTCACAGACAGAAGGATTCTAACCAGCCGGTACAGTTTGGTTTCATTTCATAGACTATAAATTTGACCTCAAATCGTTTTGACTTTTAGATCTTTTTTGTCTCACAACCGACTTTGTTTGACCGCAATGTTCCAGCTAGAAACCAGACGCAACCTTTGAACCGCCGATCACCTTTCGCTTCTCCGCAACACCTTCCAACGTTGAGCCTGCGAGGCAGGGGAACTGCTCGTGACGTTCATGGCAGCGGCACTCTAGGGCTGCCATGGCAGCTGCTGCCGCCGATGCCTCACACTGTATTACCGCACTGACGCCGGAGGAAGAGGGACGACGCACTGCCGCCAAGCTGTTTGGGAGCGCCGCCCCGCTGCCACAGACGGAGAGAGAGCGAGATCGGGGGAAAGAGAGGGAAGAGGAAGGAGAGAAAGTAGGGAGAGCGAGTGGGAACGAGTGTCTGGTGTGCGGGGCCCTGTTTGTCACACAGGAGAAGCTCCGGCTCCACACTTCGAGTCACACCGGAGAGAAGCCTTTCCACTGCTCACAGCCACACTGTCCCAAGGCCTTCAGCTCCAAGTACAAACTCTTCAGGTATCAGTCACATTTCCTCCATCTGCAATTTGATATAATTTGATTACAGACCACACGGAGGCTTAATTTAAACTTTCATGTTTACATGTGGTCGTTTGAACTACTGCATGGGAAGGAGTATTCAGGCCAATCAAACATTGTCACAGTTTGTCCCGTTAGAGCCCCAAACGTCAACGTGTTTTATTGGGAGTGATATGAAATAGTTTTCAAAAATGTTTCAAATTAAAAATGGTTGCGTGCCTTTTTACTCTGACAACCCGAAATAAAAGACAGTAAAAGTCACCTAATTCAGTGTAATCATATGATTCTGAGATGACATGGTGTCTAATGATAAGACGAAGCCATTAAGCTAAATGTTCTCAAAGTTATCAGTGAAAATTTAAATGAAGATATAAATAAATCATCACTCTCAACCATTTCTTGGTGAAACTCCAAAACTGTTCCAAAAAAAGTCATTTTGACTTGAGTTTTTAAGTTCTGTAAGAAGCAGTTTTCTTTATCTGGAGAATGCATGATGGTGAGACACGAGATCTATGTTTTCTACACCTCCTTTGCATTGTGTAATTATTTGCAGGCATATGGCCACACACTCTCCGCAGAAGACCCATCAGTGTTCGTTCTGTGAAAAAATGTTCCACCGCAAAGACCACCTGAAGAACCACCTGCAGACCCATGACCCCAACAAAGAGGCCTTCAAGTGTGAGGAGTGTGGGAAGCACTACAACACCAAGCTGGGATACAAGCGCCATGTGGCCATGCACTCTGCTACTGCGGGGGATTTAACCTGCAAAGTGTGCATGCAGAGTTACGAAAGCACACCTGTTCTCCTGGAGCATCTCAAGAGCCACTCGGGGAAGTCTTCCAGTGGTGCCAAGGAGAAAAAACACCCCTGCGACCACTGTGACCGACGTTTCTACACACGGAAAGATGTGAGACGGCACATGGTGGTCCACACAGGGCGAAAAGACTTTCTGTGCCAGTACTGTGCCCAGCGCTTTGGCAGGAAAGACCATCTGACACGGCATGTGAAGAAGAGCCACTCACAGGAGCTGCTGAAGATTAAGACGGAGCCTCCGGATATGCTAGGCCTGTTGACGACAGGATCTCCACCGTGCTCAGTAAAGGAGGAACTCAGCCCCATGATGTGCGGCATGGGGCCCAACAAAGACCCCATGATGGGAAAGTCATTCCCCAGCGGGGCACCCTTTCCCATGAGCATGTATAACCCTCACCATCTCCAGGCCATGTCTAATTCTGGTGTGGGTCCTCCACATCCTTCCCTAATGCCCAATTCCTTGTCTGCAGCTATGGGCATGGGCTGTCATATGGAATCCACCGCATCTATTCATCCACACTCCCATCACCACCACCACCACCACCACCATCACCATCATCACCATTCCCCTCCAACACCCCCGCACCACCAGCCTGCGGCTCCCCAGCAGCAGCACCAGCCCCAGCCAGCACCCAAATACCAGCTGGGATCTACCTCATACCTGCTGGACAAGCCCTTGAAAGTAGAGATGGAGAGTTTTCTCATGGATCTGCAGAGTGGTCTACCAGGCCCAGTTCCCTCTGCAGAGCCCCATGCTGCTGCTTCACCCCCTAAGGACGGATTGGAGCCCACTTCAGGCTTGGCCGATGACCTTTGTGGGGATCCCCTCCTGTCCAAGAGCCCTGCAGTGATTGCTGAGTCTCTGTGTGCTGCTAACATGGATTTTTCCCACCTGCTGGGTTTCCTGCCCCTAAACCTTCCTCCCTACAGTGCCCCCATGAGCACAGGAGGACTGGTTATGGGGTACACCTCATCTGTGACCTCCTCCACTTCTTCCTCTTCATCTCTGCACTCCGCCGAGCCCCATGCCGCCGCAGTTGCCGCGGCAGCAGCCGCCGTCGCCACGGCACCTCTTACCTCTTTGCAACCGCAACCTCAGGAGCAGCAGAGCTCCAGCGGGGGTCTAGGCCTTGGACCCCTGCACCCCCTTCCACCAGTGTTCAGCTCCAGCCTTAGTAACACCACGTTGCCTCGCTTTCACCAGGCCTTTCAGTGACAGAGGCAGCCTCTTCCCTGCCAGGTGGCCTCCTCCACACCAGCACCAGCTCAGCTTGGATATTTCAGGTCGCTATGAACAAGGCCTGATGGAAAAGTTGGAGAATTAAGTTTCAATATAAATACGTAAATGAACACTTAGAAGCCTTAAATGAAAGTGCGCACAAAAGCTTTTGATTGAGCCTTAAAAGGAAGTTGAAACCCCTTTGAGCAAAAAGGAAAGTATAAGAAAAGAAGTTGAAGCAGCTTTTATTTGGGCTTTTTTTCCCCCTTATCCTATAGATATAACAATGTATTAACCCATGTTTTTTTTTTGTTTTTCATTTACGTCCCCTTTTATCTTCCCCCTTTTTAGTAGAATAGAGGGCAGGATCAGTAGGCCTAAAGGCGTGGTACTGCATACTTAAAGTAATAATATAAAAAAAAAAAACAACAAAAAAAAAAACAACAAAAAACAAAGATCATTTTTAGTGGAGATTATCTGTCTTGTTGTGACCCAGAAAAATATAGTTTGAAGTGGAAATGTTGTTTTTACTTTATTGTCCTCCCCCTCCCCCCAAAGTAAGAACATGGTAGGATGTTTCATATGTTGAGTTCTGAACCACCCATGCTAATACCCTGAATCATCGTGATTAATTTGGAGAGGAGAGAACTCAGTGGGGGAAAGAGATGAACGGTAGTTTCTTCCATGAGGTGACTTAGCCAGACCCGCAAAACAAGCCCAACCTCCCAAAAAAAGTGCTCTTCTAATAATACAAAAGTGACACGAGAATTAGTCTGATTTAGGAGCAAAACACGAAAGAAATGCGTAAAAAAAAAAAAAAAAGAGCTTTACCACAACTTATTTTGATGTCGTTTCTCAAGAAAAGCACTTTTTTGTTGAACAAAAGGCACTTCGCTTCTCGTCTCCTCCCTCGTACTTTCGGACGAAAGCCTCTTTGTGCCAGCTCGGAAAAAAAATACGAAGAGCTCTGTGAAACTCCACTTATTCAGAAGTTGACACGTGCGGTTTACAAAACTCCGTAAACCTTAAACCAGGAGAGCAGATTTTTTTTCATGCACTCTATTTCTAAGGTCTGTGCAGACCCTGCAAGAATCGAGAAGCAGAACAATGTTAGTTCTTACCAAATCAGTTTTATAGTTTGTGAAAAACTCAGTTGCATAAATTTCCAAGCTGGAGTGACAGTTTTTCTGCATTAACAGCACCATCTTCACGTCTCTGACGAATCACACAATGGGTGTGTCCAAATTCAGGGGCTGCATCCGTCAAAGGCCGCACTTAAAGACCGATTACATCTGAAAGATGTGACGAAGACTGTCCAAACTCAAAGTCTCCAGATTTGAAGGACGGGCCTAGCGAATCCTTCGCAGCCCACCAAATCCCAAGATTCATTGCGTGTCGAACGGGAAATCTTTTGTTCTAACAATGGTGGATGAAACGGGAAATGAGAGTGGGAGAGGAATACAGTTCCATAGAAAACTGGTGGCAGAAAAATTGAAAGAATAAAGCGGTCGTATTGTTAAGCTTTTGTTATTTGCGTTGTTTTTAATATTTTTTGGTGAAAAATACATGAATTTAATTCATTCAATGATTCAATTAATGACAAAGATAAAGAGTTAATAAAAATGGAATATTCATTTTTACTAGCTTGTTTAGCGCCGTCACTGTTCCTGTGTGACATGGCGCACACAGAGGGACGGCCAGAGATCAATCTGAAGGCCAGAGCGTCCAGCTCCACAGCCGCCACTTACTTTCCCGGGAAACGAAGGACCCAGCTTACGTCGACCGGTAGACTTTCGGTGGACGCAGCCCCTGAATTTGGATACCACCAACGGCACACGGGTAGAAAACGTCTGCTCTGTGTTTGAGACGAAAATGAGCTGTGAGACTCCAGAGCCGGGGTGGCAGACAGAATCCATACAGGGAGGGAAAACTCTGGTGCGTAGGACTCTCTTTCTTTCTTCCTCCTCGGAGTTGCCTTTAAAAGTTTCCGTTATCATTTTTTTTCGTTGACGCATTCGCTTGGCTGCCTTACATATCTTTTCTTAAGATACGTATGTCTATTTTTTTTTCTTTAAATACTCCAAACTCATCTTTTAGGCAGTCTTTTAAAAAGATGCATCATCAAGGTGAATGATGAACCCTGAGATATGTGAATGGATAAAAAGAACAAAGGAAATTAGTTGCCGATAAGTAAAAATGTTTTTAAGAATGTTATTGCAGTGTACGAAATATCTCAAAAATAAATATCGAAATTGCTTTTAATGTGTATTTTAGGTAGATGTATTAAAACTAAGTGACAATGTTTTTAATTTCTTGCAGGTTTACATTTGTTTGTATCTTGCTTTTTTTTTTTTTGAGTAAGAAAAAGATGAAGTATTTCCTTTGTCCCTCAAGCTTTTCTCTGTCGTATCCGACCGTTGCTTGTTGTACTTGAGTCGGAGAAGAAGAATCCAAACTTTGGATGGGAATTATTTGTAGGAGGCTGCTAGTGGTTTAGTTGTCAGCTAGTATTTGAGCTAGCTATAGATAGTGTTGTAGGGATGCTTACGTGGATGAGATTTAAGTATTTCAAACTGCAGGCCTTGGAGTTCTAACCTTAAACCAAGAGCCTTTAAAAAACCTTAGTCCAAAGTTAACTTAAAGCCTGAAAATCCAATTTAAAAAAAATCCTTTCAGATTTAGTCCCGTCTGTTGTAAATCTCTCATAGTGTGGTCACTGTGGCTCCTTGGCTTGAGATGTTTCTAAAAAAAAAAAAAAAATTAAATTCCTTCTAAATGTTCACTTAACGGTCTGTTTCATCTTTTGATTATTAACATCATAGCATGCTATTGACATTTCTCTTGTTGTAGCAGCTATTGCTTAGCATACAGACCTATTGTTACTTACTATATAAGCTTATTATGTCCAGTATTGATTTTTTTTCCTTATAGTACCAGGCTATTACTACCCATATACAATTTATCCTTTACATAATCTTTTTTTTAGTAACTATACAGGTATTTTGATTAGATTTTTTTTTCCATCCGTATAAACTTTGTATTAGATTGCTTAACATGCAAAGTTTTTTATTTACTTTCTTATTATTTCATTTTTCTGGTCTCTTTCACCAGTAGAAAACTTTTCGTTTCCAAACTGGACTTTTTCTTAATGCAATTTTTTATTTATGTATTTTTTTTGACGGTATGTAAAGAGTTGCGTCTAATTTTCCAAAGTAAGGTTTTGTGAGACTCCAGATGAAATAGATTGAGGTAAAAATGATTTCTAAAAGAAAGACGGCGTGTTGTTCACAGTGACCACATTATAGAGAACTGCATCACATTTATAGAAACCAAACTTCCTCTTCTTTTTTGTTCTGTTCCTGAAACGACAGACAAATCTGAATGTTCTCACTCCTTAACATCTTATTTCAACCATAAATATTGTTGCAATTTTACACCAACTCTCTTTCTGTTTAGTAATGTCTGTGCATCAGGTGAGCCCTATCTGGAAAAAAACAACATAATCCATAACCATAGCACATAAGCATCGAAGCTAAATCTCTTATTGCTGCTTTAGCCACGGTTGGTGATGTACGACAACTGTAGACCACTAGAACATTTTGAAAGCTAAATGTTTTTTTTTTCTTTCTGAAACATAGACAGTGAGCCAAACCAACAAAGTGTTCATCAGCCCCACCACTTCATTACTCCTCCTCCTCCTCCTCTTTTTTAAATTTTTTTTAGCTGCTTTGTAGAGTAAAAGGGTCTGAAAACACGGCGACTCCAGGAGAACGCAGTCATTGAACCGCCTGGGCTTTGACATTCAAAGCAACAGGAAGGTGCTAAGAGACTGACTGTACAAATTGGGGGGGGGATGACTTATAGTTATGTATTTGTTTTGTTTTGTTCTTTTTTTTCATGATATATTATTTTCTGTTTGTATAAAACAGGACCTCGAAAAAAAACAACACAACACATCACCTCATTTTTATTTGTTTATTTTCTTACCAAAACCTTGGGAGAAGAAACTATATCTTTGCACAATAGCTTATTAAGAAATCTTCACTTTTTTTTTTTTTGAAGTTTGTTTATGCTGTAGGAAAAGGAACCCTGTCAGTGGGCCGCTGACGGCCCGGTGCATTGGAAAAGCACATTTGATAGTATTGGATAATTCTGACCGAGCGATGGTGTCTAAAGGTTTAAAACTACGCAGCTTCACGTTGTCGTCAAAGTTACACTTTTTTTTTATTCCAATATCAATGTAAAATTACACAAGTTATGAGATTAAATCATTATTTTTTTTTTTTATGATTGATCAAACTTCCTAATGACCCTATATGATTAGCTGTCAGCACCTTCTGTAGAATTTCTATCGTAAACCGAAGATTTAAAATTAGATTTTGCTTTTTGTTTTTTTCTTTGTAAGGGTTTTAAGACTTTTTAAAGAAAAACTCTTCTGGTTTAAGCCAAATTTGTAGCAGTCCCATTGAGCATTTATATTTTTGGAACAAATTTCTCATTTTGTCCCTAAATGAAAGGAAAGAAGAAAAAAAAAGCTTTCAGTGTGCATTAAGTTTGTCCTCCCTGGGTTTCTGTGAGCTAATCTGAATTCTAGCACTTTCAACTTTAAAATAAAAGAGTATTTTTTTTCTTTTAAAGTTTCAGCTTATATGTTCATATGTTTTTAATTTTGTATTGATCCTGTATATGTATGTGCCATTAGTTTGATGTTTAAACTTTATCAAGATTTGTGTATTTCTCTTCTCCAAAAGAATAACAGTATTTTTGATATACTTTTCACTAATATCCTTCTACAGAAGAGCTCCCCGCTCCCTTTCTCCTTGTTCCCTTGTTTTTGACTTAACCAGCTTGGCCTTTCCCTTTTTCAAAAGTGTATCTAGTCAAACTGCAGCCAAGCATTTGAAGAAAACAGCAGCAGCAGCATGTCTGTTCCTCAGAGGCCACGGTGAACAGAGCTGTTGTCAGCAGAGCGTCTAGATCCACAGCCAATCACAGCGCGCGGATCCTGCTGCAGCAAAAACTCTGACGTCTTTGCTGCAGCAGGATTAGGAGTGTTGGGGCCATTGTAGATGGAAAAGACAAGTGGAGTAAATATCTGCCAAAAAAACTCAGATATTTTGACATGAATTAATTAATACATGTTCTAGAGAAAAATGTGGACATTTCTGAGCTTAAAGACAGAAGTTTTCTAGAAAAAAAAAAACTAAGAAATTTCCTTGAAAAAATGTGGACATGTCTGAGCTTGAGCCGTCAAAAAAATTTCCGAAAAAACTCAGAAATTTTCCAGGAAAAAAGTAGGACATTTCTGAGTTTGACGCATCAAACATTTGCTGGAGAAAACTCCAAAATATTGAGATTCATCTTGGAGGTTTTTCTTAGACAAAACTTGGAAATTTCAGAGTTTGAAAAGTCAAAAGTTTTACAGATAAAACAGAGAAATTTTGAGATGGAAACTCAGAAAATTTCCAAAAATCAAAATATTTAAATTTTCGGAACTCAGAAAATTTTAGTGAGAATTTGCTCCTTTTCTTCTGTCTACAAATGGCTTTAGTCAAACTGTGATATCCACTGGCCATTTTCACAACGTAGCTGGAAAAGTCAAAGTCACCCTGCTATAAAGCACTTATGGTTTGATCATAGAGCAGTGAATTGTTTTTTGTTTCCAAATAGTACAACTTGTTAAAAAGTCATGTAGAAGAACAACATTCAGCTGCAGCTTCAGTCACAAACTTGTAATTATCGAAGGGTTTGAATCTGATATGACGTTGATGTTTATTGGCAAGATTTTGAGAAATTTTCTAAATCTACTATGGAAAAAGGAAAAAAATATGTAGGAGTTGAAACAAAAAAAGAAAAATAAGAAAGAATGTTAAAAATCCAGACATGCTTGGAGGATAGGAGGGGAAAAGAGCTTCAGATGCAACAACAGAAAAAGTAATAATCTGATACATTGCACTTTTAATTCATTAAAATAACATCAGTCATTTTTATCATTATTGAAATTATACCATGCATAAATATGGAAAATATTATCCACTAGGGCTGGGTATTTAGTGCATCATTTATCATGAAAATTTTCTTATAAGAATTTTGGTTTGTCATTGTCACCATTAATTGATTTCTGTCCCAGCCAATATAGTTGCCCCCGCTACCCAATAAAAGGGTAAAACAGTTTTTATTGTTATTGTTATTATTGTCACATGATATCATGATAAATTTGTCGCCCATCCCTCATTTTTTGTTTAAGCATCTTGTCAACGCGACAGAATGGTTGGCATGAAGGCTTACCAATTTGCTTCAGGTCATAAAAAAGTTTTATGGATATACAGATTGTCTAATCGGTTTATGGTTGATTAAGCTGATGGTTAAAATTTTAATGATTTGCAGGAGGCCACTGCCGTTCAATGTGATCACGACTACTTATCAGTTCAGGAAGTGGGAAAAAAAAAACATAAGAGGAGTTTGATATTAGTAATTTTGGTAATGTTACAGAAATAATTATATGGAAAATAATAATAAT